CCACACCCACACCCACACCCACACCCACACCCACACCCCACACCCACCCACACCCACACCTACACCCACACCCTGAAACATCTCTACTTTGGAAATTTAAACATGTTATACTTTCGATAATGGAAGACATTCAGTATCCACGTTTCTCGGCTTCTTCCTCCGATCGATCACACTCCTGCTTTTAGAGATGATGTGCGTTTTAATAATGCAGACAAAATGTTTGAAACTTCACCTAGCAACATATATTACAATCTGCCAGCACTGTAGCCCTTATCACGATATGTCCAAATCTGACTTTATATTTTTTACATCTTTATAGCAAATTCAAGCGGTAGAAGAACAGACTTACTATTTTATCGCGCTTGTTAGATATTGTTTACAAAATATCTTATCGTGCGCTTTACACACCGTTCTTTTTTCTTTTGTTTCAAGATATAACATAAATACAATCCTACATGTAGCGTCAACAGCAGGTTAAAAAGAAGCGAGAAAAAGTATATTTGGTCGTTCTTTCTTTTCAGATAAATTACGAAAAATGGCGACCGCAATGCTCACAGGTGCAGCTTCTCGGTTTCTTGATGCTTCTGAGGAGCCTAATCAAACTTTGTTGCCCATTAAAGGCTACGAAAATGAGCCATTGCTTCCACTTGAAGAAGCTGTTAAGCCCTTAGATGGACTGGTTGCTGATCTTGACGATATGGTGGATATTGCTAAGAGAAACTGTAAAAAGCCAAATGATGGTCTTACACCAAATGAGTCTGCTGCTATACATCTCTATACCATGCAGTGGGATGACCCTCATAAAAGTCTCTATGCCATGCTCAATAGTACACTTCGCTCTGAACGACGTGCGCCGCTCAAACCTTGGTACCGCTACTTAAAACTGATTCTTACTGGTTTGTTTAAGCTACCATCATTGAAGAGTACTGTTTGGCGTGGCGTTTCTGGTAATTTAAGCAATCAATATGACGAAGATCTTGTATGGTGGGGTTTCAGTTCATGCACTGGAACTTTGGATGTTTTGGAACAATTTCTGGGTAAATCGGGTGTTCGCACCTTGTTCAACATTGAATGCATCAATGGAAAGGCCATACGAGCTCATTCATTCTTCAAGAAAGAGGCTGAGATTCTTCTCTTACCGGGAACCTATTTTCGTGTTGTCGGCAAACTGAATCCATCAAAGGATTTATACATTATTCATTTACGAGAAACACAGGCGCCTCGTCCATATTTGGCACCACCTTTCAAATCATTGTCGAATACGAATGTTTCTATGTCACCAAAATCTACTGAAGAATCGAAAGCAACGCCAAATCGCAACACTTTCAAAGAAAAGCATTCAGCAGTTTCATCAAGTGTATCTATCCGTCCAAAGAGTAAGAGTTTTCATATTTCTCAGAGTATCCTATTCAAAAATCAATAGTACGAGAGTTTCAAATGTATGTACGACATATCCAAAGTAATGACCCGTTACTATACTTTCTCACAAAATCTTGCAAAATATTTTGTCTTTTTATATAATGATAGGACAAGTCAGGTTCTCTAAATCTAAAATATTCCTTAATTCCTCACAACAGATTATACTATTAAAAACGTGGCAAAAATAGTGGCCGTAAAGCAAGAAAATGGCATTAAGAGTACTTGTACTAAGTTTTTATATTATCAAATATAAAAAGCTTTTAGTGCAATCCCTGTGAAATTGAGATTGTGAAACACAATAGAATACTGCGACACTTGAGATCCTTCTATTATAGTCTCTTATGCTTTGGAGACCCTTGTGTAATGATCTGTGATGGTCTGGAGATCCTTCTATCACGATTTCTGATGCTCTGTAAACTTGCCTGTTACAGGCTGTAATGCTTTGGAAATCCATCTCTCACGATCTGTGACGACTCTGTAACGATATGTGACGACTCTGTAACGATCTGTGACGACTCTGTAACGATCTGTGACGACTCTGTAACGATCTGTGATAGTCACGCGCGCGCCTGTCATGGTCTGTGATGCTCTTCAAAAAGTCTGTCGCGGTCTGTGATGACTGATGATCGCGCTCTGTAACGATCTGTGATAGTCACGTGTTGCGTCTATCACGGTCTAAGGGAGGAGAGCGGGGGTTGGGTGCAAATTTCTAACCTATATATTTTAACACTCCTTTCAGCTCGTGTTTTACAAAATAGTCATTCTGATCGTTTCCAAATAAATATATCAGCTCGATCTATGAACCAATAGCATTCCACTTAGGAGTCACTGCACGAAAGCCATGATCGATCGTGCTGAATCGATAGTCTCAGATTTTGATGAAAATTATCTCATTTTGTAGAGCAAATTGTTTTAGGTATGGAACCAAATTTTCAGACTTAAAGATTGAACTTTGACTGAGATAGGCTCATCCGACTAATAGCACCCAAAATAGAGTTTTGTTAACATGAGAAATTTTTGATCAATCTATTATGTAAGCTATTTTGACTATATCTCGTCATCAGTACGCGATAGAGCTCTGAAATTTTGATCGGATATACAATTTGTGATGTGAAATACAACCATCATATTCAATAATGTCCATATCTTCAAAAAGTATGATTGAATTTGTTGAGGTCACCCCTAATCTCCCTATATATTAGGGTCAAAAATAGCCTATCTTCATGATAGGCTTTCTCCAGATCAGCGTGATAGAATTTGCTGATTCTTTTCTCAAAGACTACTAACCTGGTACTACTTAAACATGCAATTAAAACTTTGAGATCTTGAAATTTGCCTGGACAAGTGTTAGCACCAAGTATCACTATCTTGTTTATGAGTCAGTCCACATAAGCCACAATCGGTTTCTACAAAAGCTGTTCAATCGAGGTCGTCTGATCTTGCTCAATTTAATATATGTTGTAGAGGTAAGAGTTCTAAGAATTTTGACGCAAGCCGTTGGAAAAAATATTGTTCCGTTCTCGAGATATTGAAATTTTTCTCAGGGCACTATCGTCAAAAAAGTGCATTTTTTGTCATTTTTTGTCATTTTTTGTGACATTTTTATCTCATCAAGGATACATGCAATTGACTTGAAATTTTTACTGTAAATAGATATCATAATTGCGTATTACTAAAAAAACACGAACCCAAATGGATAAACTATTGAAGAGTTGCGCAATACTATCGGGTACATGGGGAAATAGTGATTTTCCAATATTTTGTGCATATGCCCATCTCATGAAGGAATCGTGTTAGAGAATTGAAATATTGGCTATGCAGAGATCTCATTGAGTACATAGTCCAATAAAAAAATTCAGCTTTCTACATGGTTTCTACCGCTCAGAAGATCTTCCATAAAATCATGATTTTGAACAAAATCACCATTTTAGAAGGATCCGATCTCCACAGCTGACACTTGAATGGAACCTAGGTTGGTGTGGCTTCTGAGCACACCTTGAGTACTACATAGTTATATAACAATTAGAATGGAATCTCAAAAAATGGCCCTAGAAGATTTACTGAAAAATACAAAAAATGAGCCCTATTCTACAGGAAACGTACCTAAGTTTGCTTAGAAATTACCTGAAGAGCTTCATCGTATTAGGTAGATTCTAGCTAGTGCAAATCAGCATATAATCCTCTATCACGTTTCAAAAGAATATCCTTTCAAAACAAAAAAAAAATTTTTCCGAAAAGTTCTCGTACCCATCTAGGTCTTTTGACGGAGAATCTTTTTCTATAAAATTCCTATACCCCTGCGGGTTTTTTTGAGAAAAATATTTTACATTTTGAAAAGGTATTTTTATGGAGAATGATAGAGCATCGCATGCTGATTTACGCTGAGAGGAATTTATCTGATTTGATGAAACTCTTTAAGTAATTTCTAAGCTAACTTCAGCACATTGTCTGTAGAATAGGGCTCATTTTTTTGTATTTTTCAGTAAATCTCCTAGGACCATTCTTTGAGATCCCACCCTAATTGTTACATAAGTATGTAGTAACGCTCTCGACATATTAGAAGACTTGGGATCTTCTATCGTGTCTTGTCATTCACAAGTTACAAGGGGCTTTTTATTATGTCCCTAAACAAGTCAAAGTTTTTTCGTGATTTCAAAGACAAATTCTAATTTCAACCCTTTTTTGTCCAATACACCGTTAGTAAACGGGTTTATTTTGCTTATCTCGCACTAGGGTGGCACGAGAACGTCTCAACTCGTCACGTGACGAGTTGAACAAACAGCAAAAATCAGACCTTTCGTAACACCAAAAATAGGAATATCCAAAAATACAGGGATGTCGTAACGAAATTTACAGGGCGATCGTAACGATTAATACAGGGAGTTCGTAACAGTTGCAGAGCTTTCGCAACGGAGCAACAGGGATTTCGTAATGAGAATAAGGGTGATAGCTGAACCGAGTTTGCAGAAATTACATGCTTTTCGTTACGAAAGCTCTGTAATGGTACATATTAAAACACCAATTACGATCATCCTGTAAACTTTGTTACGAAACCCCTGATTTTTTGTTACGAAAGCCCTGATTCTGTCGTTACGAAAGCTCTGTCACGGGCTTTCGTACTGTCAATTCGTTACGAAAACCAGATAAGAAAAAACGTGACGAGTTGACACATTCCCGGTGGCACTTCAACTTTACTTTGTTTCAATAAAGTAAAGTAAAGTATTTGGCGTTATATTACCGAGTAAAGCAAAGTTGGGTTACTTTACTTTACCGATAAAGTAAAGTAAGGGTGTGGGTGTGAGTGTGAGTGTGGGTGTGAGTGTCAGTGTGGGTGTGGGTGTGGGTGTGGGTGTGTGGTGGGTGTGGGGTGGGTGTGAGCGTGGTTGTGGGTGTGGTTGTGGGTGCGGGGTGTAGATGTGGGGTGTGGGTGTTTTGGGGTGCGGGTGTGCGTGTGGGTGTTGGAGGTAGGTATCAGTCTTCTCTCAACCCACACGCACACGCGCACCCCACACCCCACACCCTCCCACGCCCACACCCTGACTCACATCCACCCACACCCACACCCACACCCACCCACACCCACACCCACCCACACCCACAC